TCCTACTTCCCTTTTTTTGTAACACTTTTTGTGCTGTTTTTCTAAGCACACCTGAAATTACAGCTTAAGTAAAGTTAATTAAGGATTATTATTGATAGTATGAACCTACATATTATAACTTATAGGATAGTCTCTTCTATATTACAGTTAATAATAATATTAATTAAAAAAGACAAGAGAATTAACAGTTCTATTTTGTACCGCACGGTGATACTTATTAAGGAATAAGATTTTAGGATTTATTTTAAAAACTTATAATCGTGGTTGGTTTATAATGATTAGTATAATAATTATAATCTTAAAAAGCAAAACTAACTGTAAGTGAAAGGACATACTACCTACGTGAATATACTATTGTTAAGTTTATGTAATGGAGCGCTTTGAAAGCGTGTGTAGGATCTTTTTATTTTGACCTTTTACGTGTGGAAATGGAGAAAAACTTTTCCTTGAAACTGTCGCCTAAATCTCTTTATTATGATGTAGAGTGTTATCAAAGATTATTTTATGATACCGGGAAAATATGCGATCAAAAGGGACCGTTGTAATAAATTTTAAGGAGTCATGTAACAAAAAAATATTTTGACCACTTTGAGAAATCCGTCCTAAGTACTACTATATTTTAATGGTAACCAGATATAATAAATTGCTTATAGCCCCATACAAATAGCTCTTAATTTACAACCCTGAATATTTTTATCTCACGCAAGCAAGTACCATTACTGAAGCGAGATAATCCAAGCAATTGGTGTGTTGCCAACGCATCCTGAACAATGGTTTCTGGCCGAAAGCCAGAAAGTAGGCAATGCGTTGCGCAGATCAATGAGGATATGGCTAGCATTATTCTGTATATCCTTATTTTATATGTAAAATATTAGAAGAGATACTAATTTGACAAACAAAACTCATTTAAAATTAAGTCATTATTTTTCCGGAATTACGAAGCCCTGGCCTACTCAATATAAACGTCTATGGGAAAGTATCACAGACTGGTAAATAGAAAGAACAAAAGTGCTGTAATACAGCACTAGTAATTAAAATCGATCGGTCGTCTGTGGGTCCGCTTTTAAAGTTACCCAATAGTCGACAGAACGTAAGTAGAAGCACTCACGTCTGTGAATTCCAAGGCTTCCTTAATTGGAAAAGTATTTCACTAAAAGGATTTATGGAATAACAAATATTCCAGAATTAATACTGATTAGAAACATTACAGTTCTTAAATTATTTTTAAAAATTAGAGTGTCTCTGAGAGATTAAAGAAGTAACACATAAGATCAGCCATGAATTACGTGAAAGACACTACTATTATATTTTATATATTGTATTTGAAATAACGTCATATTTGTCAATATTTATAAAAGAGGTGATCTCTTTATCGAACTAACATTTAAGGGAGTTTAAGATTATTATTGTGCAAAAGTATAATCATGTTATATGTAATCACTTATCTGATATTTAGAAGAGAATAATTCAATTTCAAGTTTTTTTTTTAAATACCTACTACTAATATTATTAAAATTTTCATCGTACCCTAGGTAGGTACTATATAACAAATTTATATCTTAGCATTATTTATTATTTGAATTAGTAGCATTACTTATTATTGCAAGGTTTTATTTACAAATTAATTAAATTAAATTAGGAAGTATGACCAACAACGATGGTCGACAGAGAATAAAATAAAACAAAAGCTTAATTAAGAACCGATCTCATCCAAACATAATTTCAACAGATCTTTTAAATAGGTTGCTTGTTAAATTAATTTTACATTAAATCCAGTTAAACTGACAACTGAGCACGATCCTATTTAAAATTTTGTGTCCGCTATTGTAAAAGCACTTTCTCAATTACAGTTACTTCCTCTGTGTACATAGTTATATTTTTATATACTTATTTTATTTTTGGTCACGCTGTAATTTTTGAATTTCTACCTATTTCATAAAACTTTGTTTAATATATTTTTTTTATTTTTGCATTATAGGTTCTTGCATAAAAATATGGTAAAATATTAATATATAATAGAACTTAGACTATCTTTCTGATAAACTTTCTAATATACCATTTTTAATTTTATATGTATTTAAGGTACGTAGAAGGTTTCAAATAACTATCAGTTTTTCAGACAGATTTCGCAGGTTTATAAAAATTTTGTAATAAATAAATTTTACATATTACGTAACGTTACATAATATGTAGAATTTATTTTAATTCAGGAACCTTATAAAAATCCATTATGCGTATTAAGAACGATATAATATGTCTCATATCCTTAGTCGGAATAAAAACTTAGACAACAGTTCAATATCTATTGGATTTGCTAGTAACTAAATAAAAAATTGCTTACATAATGATTGGCATAAAACATCTTGTTTTATTTTATACTCTTTATATTGAAAATACTTTACATATATTAGATAAATGTAATCGATAAGAAATTTTAAATAAAGGCGTAACCTTGTACTATGATGTATTTTTAATATGCTTGTATTATCCATCTTATAGACAGTAATAATATATTTAATAAACACAATAAACATTTTTTATACCAGTTACGTGTAAAAATTTGCTTACAAATGATTAACACGTAATTAAAACGTTTATACATGACATGTATAAATACGAGTATATATAAAAATAATATTTAAATTAGATATACATGAAGGTTGTAGTGTAACATTTAGGGGGTATAGAGTTAAAATATATGTACATTTATTTTTCTCATTGAAAATGTGTTAGGAAAGTATTGATTTCATTTTTCTCAATAAAATTCTGTTTCATTAAATAAATAAAACAAAAAAATATTATGATAAACATTTTATAGTACAATTGTCAACAGCACGGTGACGTGTACATTAGGGTGGGTCAAAAAATTTTTTTTTCGTTTTTTAAAAAGGCTCAACAATAAAAAGGTGCTAAATGGTTTACTTAATTTATATGTAAAATTTTATTTCGTTATTTTAAGTTTAATTGCCTCCGGATTCTAAAAGAAATTTTTGAAAAAGCATATATTTAACTATATGTTTCCGACACATTTTTCAAGCTATCGATGTCCGGTTTCGTACTGTACGTATAGTTGTTAATCACTACAAATAAAGGAAGACGTTTTCTTGGCTTAATTCAAGGTTACGGGTAAGGAGGGGGACGGGGTGGAGTTACAAGTGACGCTTAATTGATCTGTGAAACAACGTTGTGTTCTAGAGTGCAGTCATTTTTTTGCCCATTATTCTAAGAATAGAACGCACGCTAAATAGTTGGAAGTGTCCCTTGTTTGGTGATCTATGTGATTTAAAAACAACATTTTGCCAAGCTATGAAGATGTGATGAAGTTTTATGAGTGGACCAGACACAAGTTAAAACATGAGAGGGAAACTAAAAAGGAGCCAACGTATAAAGAAATCGAAGCCATAATAGTTCCAAAATTGATAGAAATATGGGTGAGATTGTCTATTCCAACTGTAGAACCAAAACGTGTAAAGGTAATGTTACAAAAATATCATTTAAAGTGCAAAAACTTACTTAAATCTCACTCAACAATACACGAAAACAAGATGAAGGAGTTTCGTCTTGGAAGTAAAGTGCTATTTGATATTGCGGCTTGCAAGTGTAGAGATTTACTTCAATGTGCTTGTGCGAAAAACAAAAAATACCTCTAAGAGAACACAACTTCATAACAGATCAACGAACAGCTAGGCAAATGGTGATAAGTGGCATTGACGTTCGTACAACTAAACAGATTACAAGATCGCATCTGTAGTTTTGCATTTATCGACTTCACAAGTAATAGACAAAAATAAGCTGCAGTTATTCAAAGAAATGCTTATTTCGCACATCCAGAAAACTTATTACTCGAAATGTTGACTGATATCCAGCCGCATATACCGGAATTAGCTGCTCGTCGAATTTTGAAAGCTAGATCAGCAAAACCTAAAAGTTTGCGTCTGTTTAAGTTGCCAGAGATGAACTTTAAAGTGTCAACGTATTATGACCTTTTAGATTGGCAAGAAAATATCACTGAGCCGCTAATTTTAAAGTCTCTAACTGAAGAAAATCTGTGATTATTTGTTGTACAAAAAGGAGAAGGCGAATTAAATTTATTACGCCTCCCTTGTCACACACAAGCAGTAGAGAGAGCAGTTAAAGTTGTGACTGAAGCTTCTGCTACTTTATGTATTAGAATAGCAAGAGAAGGATTCATCAAAGCCCAGATAGATTCGAGAAAATCAATGCCGAAATTCGACAGCAAAAAGGATTTTTGCCCCTAATTAAGCTTCGATGATGACCGTACTGTAATGATTATTTTTGATTTTATCTGCAGTTACACTTATTTGACACGTTAATTCACTTTTAATAAACACAATTACTATTGATTTAAGACTTTTATTTATAAATAGAGTTGATCAGTATAACTGTTTCTGCCATATCATTAGGACCTTACAAACCAAATTTTCTTGAATTTCCACGTGAGACCGGAGGCAGAAGATTAATTCCGATTACCATCAAATTTTATAGTCTGTTTACAATTATGATTTGGCACCTTTTTATCACTGTGCCTGAAAAAAAACTAACATTTTTTTTTCTCCATACTGATGTGACCCACCCTAGTGTACATAAAAGAGGTATAAATTTCAACAAAGGAAAGGTACATTATTTTGTTCCTTTTAATATTAATTCAAGTTTTAAAGTTACTTTTTACATATAACATAAAGCAATCCATAAAACCAAACATTCACAATAAAGTATAACATTTTTAACTCTCACTATTACTTTTTAAATATATGTTCTTCTTAAAATACCTGGAATCAACAACAGAACTTTGACGGTAAAATGACAGTTGACTTTCGCGGGCTTTTGTATGTCATAACAAAGTTCACTGTTCTAACAGTTATTAAACTAAAATATCTAAAATTCTAAAAGTTTTAAAAGGAAAGTGCTCTTATCATGTCTAATTCATAAGTTTTCAGTTTCAGTGTCTGTAATGTAATTTTATTATATTGTGTCTCATCATGAGTTCCTTATTATCAGCTGAACTTTCCGCAACATGCAATGCTTTGGGAACATTTAATAAAAAAACTGGAAAGTATATGATTGACGACTTCACTCTTAACACTGTTAAGGATTTAATAAGATATTTAAGACGTGATGGCGAAGATCATGAAATCCGAAGGCATTTTGGTCAAACTAAAGTGCTGCAAACTGATTTGCTACCAATGTTGATAGATCATTGGGAAAATGAAGAACTATTTGATGTTACTTTAAGGTAATATTATTTATAGCAAATATCCTGTATATATCATTGTTTAGAGGTAATGTGTGATTTAAATAATTATATTTTCAGGTTAATTGTTAACTTGACAAACCCTGCACTCTTATTATATAGAGAAGAAGTCCCCGTAGAACGGAATGATCGCCATAATTATTTGCAAATACTATCACATTTGCAGTCTTACAAAGAAGATGCATTTACAAAAGTTGAAAATTGGCAAGTCTTTGCTAAAAAACTTGGAAAAGTTTTAGAAATAGTGAGTTTAATTGCAAAATATAATAATTTTATGTAGCAAATGTTTATTGCAACTCATATTAATATATATTGTTGTTTTACTATATTAAATATGCATATTTAATATATAAATTTACTTTTTATTAAGGATTGGAGTGAACGAGATGAAGACACTGGTTTAGTAATAGAAAGAATCTTGATCCTAATAAGAAATGTATTGCATGTTCCCGCCGACCTTGACAAAGAGAGACGCCCGGAGAATGATGCTAGTGTTCATGATCAGGTTAGCATACATTCATTATAAATAATAAAATAATCATATGAAAAATGTATTTATACAGATATTTACTTATGTAAATCATGTATAAAGTATTGTAATTATAATTTATATTACTCAACTTAGGTTCTGTGGGCGTTAAATCAAGCAGGAATATTAGATATCATTCTATACATGTCCTCGGAGAACGAGAAACAATACTTCATGCATATCATAGAAATCATATCACATCTACTGAGAGAACAGAATCCAACGAGCTTGGCCGATGCGGCCTTACAGAGAAGTGTTGATGAGAAACTGAGGGATGATCAAGAGTTACTGATGATTAGAATGACTGAAAATAAAGATAGGATGAACAAAGTTAGACATTATTCATCAACAAGGTGATTTTTATATATATCCTACTAATATTATAATTGCTAAAGTTTGTGAGTGTGTGTGTGTTTGTTACTTCTTCACACTCAAATTTCTGAACCGATATTGATAAAATTTTGTACACAGGAAGCTGACAATATATATGTACATATATTGTAACAATCATATAACATGTGGTCAATTTTATATGAATCTTGTAGTCTTATTTGTTAATAAATTTTATTTATGCAGCATTAGTTATGCAGTATCATGTATATTGACGTAAAAAATTTTGTTTAACATTTAAAACTTTCAATACTTGTATTCATATTGTCAACTTATTTTATATCAAATTGTAGACATTCAAGATTTGGTGGTACATATGTTGTTCAGAATATGAAATCTATATCGGACAATGAGTTAATCTGTCTCAAGCCTTTAAACAAGATATCCAATTTGGATTTCAACGGCAGCAAGAAACAGAAATTAGTGAAACCTAAGAATAGAAGACCAGCTGAGAGTGGGACTATGGAAAGGAGATCAGCTTTTGCTATACGGTAAACTATATATTTATATATTTTCATTATTTTATGTAGTACAATTAAAATGCCTCTCAATTTCACCCTTCTGTCACCATGGCATTTAAAAGTAAATTCCTAATTAGTAATTTTGAATAGTGACAAAAAAACCGATCAATACTTGATCAATTACTTCCTATCACCCTCTATTTTATTATATAGCCAACAATAATAATTTCTATGTGAAGCCAATGCCTGAACAAAGTCGCAGACAGAAGCTAGTGTCTTTTATAAAAAATAGTTTTTTACTGTGACTTATCAAGATTGCTTATGTGAGACTCAAGCCAATCACCTGTTTAGGTGTTATACAGGGTGACTGGTGAATTACTATCAATATTTAAGGAGAATACTCGGTACATGATTCTCATTCGAATTATGTAAAAAAAATAGGCACTTAATTTTGACAAAATTTCCGTATAAATAAATAAAGTGTTGACACGTTCCAAGTGTTCCAAGTGTGGTCGCGTGCGGCGGCGTGCTGATACAACACCACGCCGCCGCACGCGTAGGTGTGTGTGTGTGTGTATACCTAATCTGTAGGGTGTTCACACGATGATTAATTAATTACATAACTTTTGGTTAACTTTACTTAGAAGTTTATTAATATTTATTATTTATGTTATATTAATTTTTATTCTGTCATATATGATCGTCAAATATCACGTCCTCAAGTATCGATAGTAATTCACCAGTCACCCTGTATAAGTACTAGACTAAATGTGAGACAAAATATATTTTTATTTTATTGTAAATCGTTAGAAAAGTTAATACCAGTGGAATACAGCGTCTTAATTGAAGTAAAAATTATTTCGCTCGTAGCCACTCAGGATAAAAAACTTTGTATATATAGATATAGAAGGAAATTAAGATGTAAATAACACTTGCATATTCCTGTATAAAATAAATGTCTATCTATCATGTAACGCTAACATTACATTCAAGGCTAGAGAGATTTTTATATTTCAAACGCAGACAAAGTCGTAGTAAACAGCTATTATTATTTCAGGTTATTCTTAAAGGAGTTCTGTATAGAGTTTCTGAACAGTTCATACAACGTCTTGATGCATTACGTGAAGGACGTGCTAGTGAGGGCCAAGGCTCAACAAAACGACGAGTCCTATTACCTCTGGGCTGTGAAATTCTTTATGGAGTTCAACAGAGCTCACGATTTTCAAGTCGGTTTTGTCAGGTGATTATATCAAACAATATATACATATATTTATTTCTTTATGGTAAAACAGGTTATATCGATAAATGATTTCGGTAGGTTAAAAACAATTTACCAGAATAGTTTTCACGGTTATTTTAATGTGGAGTGTATTATTAGAAATACTTTATATAAAAAAAAAAAAACAAAATCAAGTAAGAACAAGAAGAAGTAAGTAGTATAGCAAGAACATTAACAACAAGGATTATCTAACATATACAATTTACTACAATAATCACTTATACTTAAAAAAAGTACATCTGAATTTTATTTTGTCTTTTAATATAAATTTCTTTATACTAAACCTTCATAGTTATATATCTTTAATGTAATAATAAATTTCATATGTTTAATATAAAACTATTCGCAGCGAAACAATGTCGGTGCCGATGTTTCATTACGTACAACAACAGATGGAGAAATACTACGACATGATAAGCGTTGAGAAGAAAAAGTTCACTAACTGGGTCCGGCGACTTCACCTGGCTCTGAGGGCCTACAAGGAACTACTACATACATTACTAGCTATGGATACAAGCAAGGATCACACTGTGAGGGAATCCGCTAAAGTATTGAAGAGCAATATATTCTATGTACTCGAATACAGAGAGTTCATATTGTCCATGTATCTCAATTACGATGAAAATAAAATGCCCAGGTGAGTTTAATACGCAACGACTTATCCTAATATTATAATTGCGAAAGTTTGTGAGTGTGTGTGTATGTTTGTTACTTCTTCACGCTCAAACGGCTGAACCGATTTTGATAAAATTTTGTATACAGAAAGCTGACATCCAGGAATAACACATAGGCTACTTTACAACGCGGAAAAGCCGGAAATCCGTGGGTAATACCGCGGGGCGCAGCTAGTTTCATCATAACACGCACACATTTATATACACATGGACATCTTCACACACACAATCATACTTAAGCACCCATGCATATAACACACCTCATTCACATTCACACACATATACACAATGTAATGACACACACACGCACACATACACATCAATGTATATTATCTAATATAATATTCATATGTTTAATATAATAATCTATTTATAGATCATATCTAGTGGATCTCGTAGAAACGGTTCACCTTTTCCTCAAAATGTTAGAGCATTACTGTAAGAAAACTGGCCTGGTTGTTCAGAAGAAAGTTCGGAAAAAGACAAAGGCTAAGAGTGAGTGGAACTTTAATTATTAGTCTCATTATAAATATATAAAATAAGAACTATTAAATATAAGATTTTGCAGTTCATTCAATAATAATGTCTTCATATATAACGGAGTAATGTAATGAGAGAATTGCTCTAATGCTTTATTAGTTCAATAATTTCTGCACTGTAAAGCGAGAATTTCAGGAATTCGCTTTTAGTTGAATGAATTTATTCTTACGTAAACCTTGGTTTCCTTACATTTAAAATAAAAAGTGTTTTACCAAAATATATATTTAAAATGATTTGTATGAAAATAAAACATTAAATAATAACTTAATTAGTACATAATCAATTTACTTCTTATTATGAATTCAGAACACGATTTAAATCTCCAACCCAGTCACGTCTAACATCAAAAACAACTCTATTTACTTAAACTTTTATCCAACGAATTCATATTTCGAAAACAGATTCCTTTAAAATCAGATATAACAATATTTCTTATATTATTGCCAAAAAAATTTAACTTCCTCCAAAATTGCCTAAATATAAATTTTTTATGTGTCTTAAAACTTAAAAGTACCTATTATATTTTAAGAGTTTTATTATGTTGTATATATTATTAAAGAATATCAAAAAATTACGTGAATCTTAGTTGAAATAGCATCACCTATACTAATATTAACTTCCCTACATACATGTTAGTATAACAACTTAGTTACTTCGATAGCAACTTGAAACCAACTCTTTATAAGGATATTTACTGTTCCAAAAACTTCAAATTCCCAAATTACATACATCGCTCATTAAAAAATATACTTCACTACGTTTAATTAATACGTTATATTTTATTTGCAAGATAATATTTTCTATAATAAAAATTATCAACTCAGTTCTTAATTACGAATAACATTTAACTAAGCTTAAAATTAATGTACCTTTATAATCGAATAATATTTTATACGCAGAACAAAAGCCGAAAATCAAGCCAAAGGTTATTGAACTCTCGCCGTGGGAGGAGGTCCGCCCGCAGCTGGCCGCTGTACTTAGTTCCGGAGTGGAACATTATCTACCACCGTTTGACGCTGCCTCAGACACACCCATAGATCAACAGAAGTTAGTACATGATAACAACATGCTGTATCCCTACTAATATTATAAATGCGAAAGTAACTCTGTCTGTCTGTCTGTTACGCTTTCACGCCTAAACCACTGAACTGATTTTAATGAAATTTGGTACAGACATAGAGTTGACCTTGAGAAAGAACATATGATAGTTTTTTTATCCCAGACTTTTGAAAGGTTCTCTTGGAAACGCTATTGAACCGAACTCCACGTGGGCGAAGCTGCGGGCGGAAAGCTAGTATATTATATAGGGTGTTGTAATTATTATATATACATATTATTTGAATAAATTTAAATTTTCCATATAAATATACTGAAATGAAGTATGTAATCCAAATATACATGTTAGTAACGGCAGCAATAACTGCACTTACAATATACATATAATTCTTGGTAATTATATTAATACTTCTTATTGACCTTGACATGGAAATCCCTACTAATATTATAAATGCGAAAGTAACTCTGTCTGTCTGTCTGTTAACCTTTCACGCCTAAACCACTGAACTGATTTTAATGAAATTTGGTATAGAGATAGAATTGACCTTGAGAAAGAACATAGGATAGTTTTTTCCCACACTTTTGAAAAGTTCTCTTGGAAACGTGATATAACCGAACTCCACGCGGGCGAAGCTGCGGGCGGAAAGCTAGTATATTATATAGGGTGTTGTATAATTATATATACATATTATTTGAATAATTTTAAATTTTTCCATATAAATATACTGAAATGAAGTTACCCAAATATTCACGTTAGTAACGGCACCAATAACTATAATTACAATTCTTATATTTCTTAGTAATTATTTTAATAGTTATTGACGTTGACTTGGAAATTATCAATATACATATATAATAATTCTCTCCAGTAAAGACTTCTATTTAATATTGCATTATATATTAATATATTTTATACATCTTTTTACATTCAGGGAAGATTGTATGAAGAAAATTCAAAAGCTGATGAGGGATCACAAGTATGAGGACGTGATAGGAACATTCAGAGCAGCGAGGTGAGTTATATATGAGTTAGATAGATAAGTTTTGTGTTTTATCATCAATAATGTATGTAATCAAATTTAGAACATATAAAGGAATAGGTTACTTAAAAACTTATTACAAGTTCTCGTCTCGAAAGTTAATACAGACTGAGAAAGTGAGTTCGTCAATCGTACTTGATTGTTTCAATTATATGAATGATATTTAGACGTTTGTAATTATTATAACTGAAAACCCATAGTAAGCAAAAGCTGATTTTATGGAAGTATTCCCGTTGCTTAATTATTTTATGTAACTACGTACGTACTTAACGTATCATGCATGTATGTGTGTATGTATGTATGTGAGCTCTGATCTATTAAACATTCTTAGCTATATAATAAAGTAAAGGTATTTGAATATGTTTATATGAAGTTTTTATATTATAGTGCAATAATAATATGACGTTTAATTTAACAAGTATCCAGGCTTACACGTAAAAGAAACTTTAGTCACTTATAAGAAATAAAACAACCTTATACAGGGTGACTGGGTGAATTACTATCAATATTTAAGAAGAATACTCGGTACATGATTCTCATTCGAATTATGTAAAAAAAATAGGTACTTAATTTTTGACCAAATTTCCGTATAAATAAATAAAGTGTGGACACGTTCCAAGTGTTCCAAGTGTGGACGCGTGCGGCGGCGTGCTGATACAACACCACGCCGCCACGCGCGTGTGTGTGTGTGTGTATACCTAATCTGTAGGGTGTTCACATAACTTTTGGTTAACTTTACTTAGAAGTTTATTAATATTTATGTTATATTAATTTTTATTTTGTCATATATGATCGTCAAATATCACGTCCTCAAGTATCGATAGTAATTCACCAGACACCCTGTATATGAATTTGTCATAAAATAGTATGTAACATAATTATATATTTAAAATCTATTATTATATAGGGAGGTATGGCCAGAAGACGGTATTTTTGGTGTCAGCGGTATGCCCGAAGATGAGGAACTCGATATGTTAGAGACTATCTACAATACTGACTTGGGGCTAGATTCTGAGGGTAGGTACAAGAAATATTAAATATATTATTTAATTATTTAATTTTGTATTATATTTATATGAATTTAAGGATTTGAGTTTTATTTATATCAATTTATTTAAATATGACCATTTTGTTTAATATTTGTATTTTTTATTCCGCATTTTTAGTGGCCCAACAAGAAGATGCTGAAGAATACTCAGAAGATGAAGACGGTAAGTTTAGCGAATTATTTTATGGTTTAAAGATATAATGTTTTGAAAAACAATAAACGCGGTAGATAGATATAGTTTTCGTAATAAAAAACACATATAATGTAATTAAAACTTTTTATGTTAAGAAACTTAAATATTTACTTAACTTAAAACATAATCTAAAAGTTGTATTCTGAAAAAAAAAGGCAATGAAAAATACTAAATAACAATCAAATTTAAGAAATCTCAATTAAAAAATATATATATACACATAATGTATGAGAACGTCAGTGGTGGCTCAGTGGTTAAAGGGCTCGCCTCTCGGCCTCTCGTCGCCGAGGGCGCGGGTTCGATCCTGGCCCGGGCAAGTACCAATGTGATTTTTGCCGAATCATATGTACTTTCTAAGAGTATTTAGACATCACTGATTAATGTTGATTCCCAAAAAGAGGGTTGATGTCAGGCAGGCGACCGGTCGTTAAAACAAATAGCCAAAAAACTATTTACAACATGTAAGGCAGACCCTGGCTATAGCTGGGAAATTGCCAGGTAGAAGAAGAAGATAATGTATGAGAACGCTCATTTTGATATTTTTTAGACGTTATCAATACATACTTGTTTCTATGTCAAATAAAATTTTAATTCAGTTATATCTTTGAATAAACCTTTATACACACAGTCGAAACATATTTTAACTGCGATTTTATAACGATTGTGGAAGCATTTCCTTTAGCAATGCTTTGTTTTGCTGTATTACTTCCAAAATATTATTCGAGCATAGCATATATCAAGGACAATATATTTCTTTTATTTATATACTAAACCTATTATATTTGAGAATAAAAATACAACCCAAAACTTTACATTTATCCATGACAAAATTTTTTCAAACCGGTTGTTCATGAATTAAAATACATGTTTTAAAAATATCCAAATATAGAATCACGTGCTTGTTCCAATTTGAACACGCTAACTGAATCAATATATAGTTTTATGGAAATCTTATTGTCAATGTAGCCAGTAAACGTCAAATATGACGCACCAAAAATTCAACATCGTTACGCATTTAAATGAAACTAATATTTTCGGTTTTCTATGCGTATCTTATTATTTTTAAAACATCGGGAGTATGAAGTTTTAAAAATAATAAAATTCTCATAGTAATCCGAATAATATTAGTTTCATTTAAATTAATACTCGCGAAAGCCTTAGATCTCGTTATATGAACCAGTACGTACTGGAAATCGCCAACAAGACGAACAAGATTGCTGCATAGTAACCGAAACGTCGGGAGTATGTAGGTTTTAAAAATAATGAAATACTCGTAGTAATCCGAACAATATTAGTTTCATTTAAATGAATACTCGCGAAAGCCTTAGATCTCGTTATCGTTATGCATGTTTCAATTGCATTACATACGAAACTTTTTCCTTTTTGAATACATAATCCACCACGCTATAGTCATGTATAAAGATTTATGAATAAAACTATAAATGTTGTTAAACATTGTGACGATGCAAACTTATGTTAAGCATACCGTTCAATATTTTCTCAAAAATATAGAAAAAAAAATTGTGTGTGGAGTCCCTACGTAGAATGAAGAAGCGAAATTTCGTAATGTAAAAACGAAAATAGGTAGTGGTAGAAATGAATTTTTAGTTAAATCATATTGTTTCCTTAAGACCAACTTTATAAACATTGCTTATAATTCACAATTGGCCCACCCATTTAATTTCACTCCGTCTCTTTCTATTATCCCTTCCCAGGTGCGTTGAACATTTAACGCAACCTTATTGGAAATCACATAAGTACAGATTCTTTTCACTTGAACTTAAACTCTTCATTAAAACAAAATAACAGTGCATAATTAATTCTACCAAAAGTTTTTTATTTCCATATATTATAAATCCTACAAATATAACAACAAGTCAATTTCGGTATAAAGTAATAGTTACATAACATTAAGTCTTCATACTAACTTAATTTATATACAATGTATAAAACCCATACAAGCCGAGTATTATACTAAGTCGTAACGCCAAGTTAAATCCCACTAACGTCACTGCTTAGATTAAGATGCAAACAATGAACATTAATTAGTGATTCATGAGATTTCTATTAAATTACTTTGAACTAAACTTCATATGAACTGTAAAAAAAACATATAAAGTATATATAAAATATAACAAAAATGTAAATAGCTGTAATAAAATAAACTTAATTCTATGAAAATAACTGAACAAAACACATAAATTTATGTAAAAGAAATATAAAATCATCTAAACTCTATTAAAATAATCATTTAAAGTATACGAAAAGCCACAGTAGAAAAACATCTAAAATGTACGAAATATTACTGAAGAATCCTGAAGGATTGAAATGTCTATAAGAAATAAATATAAAATATAAATGCTATGAAAAATAACTGTACAAAAATCTCTAGCCCATGAAATAAACTGTAAAAAAAAAAACATTTAAAATATATGAAAATAAATAGGAAATATTTAAAATTACTTTTAAAGTACAGTATATATGTATATAATTATTTGTTGTAATTAAGACTATATAAAATATAAAAGTATAATTATTTTAGACGAAGATGAAGAAGATCAAGGCTCGACCGCCATCGTTGAGACTGATTTTGATTTCCAAGACTTCGTTCTGAGGTATGTATTAACTTTTATATAAATTAATCTTAGATATTAACAATTATTTTCCATTTATTTAGTTTAAATAATTACTTTGTTATAATTTTGCTATATTATTTATTTCAAATTAACTCATGATATAAATAAGATAAATAACAAGAATTTTTCTAAGAGTGATGGTTAAGATTTAGTTTAGTTGTATGTTTAATTTGTCTTACTATGTACGTTACCTACTACAAGTATAGGTCTACTGAATGCTGATCAAAAAGTAACGGTGATGATATATGTACAGTATACACCATTGATATGATATACCGGGTGTAGCCATTAATTACGTGATCTATAAAGTTGAGAACAAAGAGAACAAGGGAGAATTCAGTAAAATTTCATATATATTTTTTAAATTATACGTAGTATTATAATTAAGGAGAAGTTAGTTGACGTTGAAAAACGTATTGTATATCATAATAGCACATCAAAAAATAAAATAAACCTTTACTTTAAAAAATCGTCGTAGTGAATTTTGAAGCACTTTCATGTTGAATAAATTATTTCTTTTTGAAAATTTATTAATGAAGACTGAAAATTTTGTTTCATGTAAATTTATTAAGTCATTTAACAAGTGAATACTAAATGAGTACAAAATGTAAGAAAAAGTTCACGTAATTATTTAATATATACCATTAATAAACGTTGAACGTTCTAAATGAGAAGAGAATTATGTGATGTATAATTCTCTTTTTAGATTTTGTCACCCAAAGATAGTATCGGCGTGTGTGTGTCTGTTAGAGCGTTATGACAAGAACCGGTCACACACAAACCACTGTATAGTCAAGATGTTACACAGAATAGCGTTCGACTGTAACCGACCCGCTATGATGTTTCAAGCTACTCTGTTTCTGACTTTCCAGAAGATTCTGCACAATCCTATGCCACATTTGAAGGTAGGTTTAAAAAATATGTAATTTTTAATAGATTTAAGGATTTTGAAATGCTTATATGAAATTTAGCTCGTACTATATGTTTACGATGTAACTTCGATCTCACTCGATCCTATTTGTAGTAATCCGCTAACAATTCCTTAGATGCTAAACAAAATCATTTATAAATCGAAGCTCGGTTCTCAAAAACTATGATTTAATAATTTCTATACAAAATTACAAGCAAAATATTCGTTTTCATAGTAATATTCTCTGAAAATTCTGAAAAACTGCCTCTCATATAGCAACATGAATGATTTCAATTTAGCCTTTGTAAATATTCGTATCAAAACATGCACTAAACCGGGCTCGCATCATCCACTTCGTTTTAAAAGACCGTAGAATTCACTTTTACGGTTACTATTAGTGTGTACTTTTACATTCGGACGTATTACGTATTCACGAGAGCCCCTCAAAGCTTCGTATATGTTTGACAGTACGGGGTTTTAATATCATACGAGATAGTTTTCCTATAAATTTTGAACTTCAGTGAGACAAAAGAATACTGCGAATTTGTTTATTTATTACATTATTGCAATTTTGTATATTAATTATTTATTTATTGAGATTATTATTTCATATAAAATTTTGTTAGATTTTAAATAAAATGTTGCGGATGGCCCTTAACATATTTTTAATATACGGCATTTAAAATATTTTATTTGAAAATGTAATAAAATAATGATTGAATGATTGATTGATCGACCGATTAGGTTTTGTTCGTAAGATATCATTTGCTATCAATACACATAAACTATTAGTTTTCCTTTAAATGCATCCCACATACGTGGCATTTAATTTTACTTATGCATGGGGACTAAAATAGATTAAGAAACAATTCACTAAGGACACAAAAACATTTCCAACCATACATATAGCAAACCTTTGAGACTTTGAAAATTGCAAGAAAAATGTGATCTACTTAATTAATTACATTATATAAAAGTAAAGAAATTCTTATATTAATAAAAACTTAAATCTATAAAATGTTTCTAACTACTGACTTAAAACATTAAATAACCAGTTTATCCTCTCTGGCTGAAGTTGTATCCTGAAAATTGCACGCTCGATTGTAGACCAACACGTTGAGTACTCCTGGTTCTAAAAGTCAAGTCACTCGTAAGCCTAATGGACTTCGGATAACTAAACGCGTCTTAGTAGTATATAGAGAATTTGCAATATCTTATTATAAATAGAGAAATTTTAAAGTAACACAATATATACAAGTAAATACGTTGCAGTATAAAACGAAACAATTTTATTTTTTATATTTTTAGTTACAAAAGAAACCTTTAATATTGAAATACATTTAAGTAGGTAACGCAAATATTATAACTAATTATATTACTTACAAGAATACTTATCAGAAATATTTTTGTCCGATTTAATAATGAAATCCTGTTAAAGTTCATACAATAATAAGCTTTATAACAATAATAATAAGGTCGATAATCTAAAATCATGTTAAATACAAAATTTCCATATCCCATTTAACAGGAGTTGGAAAAGTTCGCCATATTTATTCTAAGAAAATTCGCTGATATAGCGTCTAAGAGCGGGAAAGTTTTTATTGAACTGTTATTTTGGAAGAATTCTAAAGACGCTGTTGAAATCGAACACGGATACAATCTGTACAACGATCCCAGGTGAGTTGATAGTGACGTCACTGAACATTACATGCGACAGACGTGTGTAACATTAACATACCTCGCATTTGTTAACATGATTATATTTTAAACTTACCACGGGTTCGTAGTCACTGCTCACTACATAAGAATAGTCATCAGTTTCATATTCAATAATCAACTTTAATAATTCTATATTAACTCATGGTTAGCATTATCATTAAATTATTATTCTTTGAGTTAAACGTATTCATTCTTATTACTTATATAGCATTTATATATACCGTTTACATTTATTTTTACCATATTTAGATTTTTCTTTATAATTCTTACATATGTATAAACAAAAGAATATCAATATTTCTATAAATTATTTTGCGATCACTATACAAAATTTCAGTAGATATTTTAGCTTACAACTTGATTGTTATTCTATTTTGTAGAGACAAACCTGGTAAAGCTAGCTGGTCTGAAGAACAGGAAGACGAATTACGTAACCTTTATATGGAGAACCAAACTAACCCGCAGACGGATCAAGGTGAATTACATAGTATAATAATTAACACAATTGAACAACTCTTAAAATGGCATAAAAATGACGATAAAATGCTGCATTATAGCTATCTCTTTCACACACTCTTTGGTCAATTACGTCTGAACTGAGATTATGCAATACCAATAATAAAAAGCCCAAAGTCGTATACAAAAAAATAATAGAAATGTATGATTTTATAGACTTTTTTTGTATGTTATTCAAATTTAAAAGTCTAAATACTGTTAGTATAAAATTTCCTTACGATATACTTATCTGTATGATACTAAGTAACTCATTGAAAGATCTGTGAATCTTAGCAAATTTCCAATCAGATTATGGGACTTTGTTAATATTTTAAATAAACAACTTAATATAAATTATAGGGACGTTGCTGTAATAGTTTAGATTTATTTGTGCTACCATAATACATAGAAAATTGAATAAAAAAATGTAGTTGTTAATAAAACAATATTTCTTTGAATTTTATATATATGTTTGTATGTGCAATAATAATATGGTTCCCACAGATGTTATTGATTGGATACTCGACAATCTGATCGATCAAACGCGAACACGTAGATCCGTTATTAAGAAGCTAAAGGAATTGGGTCTTATATTTAACGCGCCGACCAAAAAAAGCAACAAGGCGAGAACTGAGAAAGTTAGCAAAGATTTTACTGAAGAAGAAGACAAATTGCTCACGGAATTATGGACTCAAAATGCAGAGTCACAAGGTATATTATTGATTAAATAATTCCTAATTATAACTAACTCAATATCATTAACAATTTTTGTATATATTTTATGTGTATGTAATATTAAAATTATATTTCCCTTAAAGATCCTATGAGCGTTATAATGGAACAAATGCCGAAAAGCAGATCGAAGCGAATATTCGTCGAGCGACTTCTACGATTAGGTTTGATTGATGACAAGAAACAGTGTCGTAAGAAACGTACCAAGAATATATCGGGACGTTAGTATATAACTTACTAATACTTATAAAGAATGTGTATATATGTATGTGTGTGTGAGATTTACAACTGTGTGTGTCTTACTTTGTGCATGAGTATGAATGTAAACGTGCATTGTGCCTGTTGTTTGTCATATATGAACGTGAATTTCTACGTATGTGTGTGTGTATGTGTGTGTGTGTGTGTGTGCGCGTTTGTGTGTGTGTGTGGGCGCGCGTGCGTATGTGTATCGCTCTCGTAATCTTTGTAAATATATATATAACTTGTTATTTGCAGACAACTCATCAGATTCCGAATCATCGAAATCCGAAGACGAGGACGCGCCTCCCAAAACGCCCACCATTAAAATAAAATCCAAGAAAAACTTAACAAAAAACAAGCAATCTAATAAAAAGTCAGTTAAAAGCTTGGAACTGAGCGCTAATGAGATCGCAGAACTGTTAGTGCAAGCTGTTGAAAACGGTGAGTAATGTTTAAAGAGTCTGCTTAAAAAGTATCGTGGAAATTTTTATTCGTCCAATTAATTTAAATTTCATTGGTATTTTGAAATGATGCCATTTACATTATTCAAATTAACCCACCCATATACAAATGACTTTCAAATGTCCTTGAGCCTTTATAAACTGTAATTTCATTCTATACAGAATACAAGAAATGGTCTATTTATATACAAACATAAATGACCTTCAAACGTCCCTAAGATTTTATAACTGTAATTTCCTTCGACACAGGTCTTACGGAGGCCTTGAAGTGGTTGTCAGAAAATTTAGAAGAAGTAGCTTTGGACCAAGAGGCGGAAGGATTTGACCCGACCTCAGAAGGAACGCCGTTAGTACCGATATCAAGAGAATCCGTTCAGGCCATGCAAGATAACTTGTTTAGAAGAGTGTTACAGAGTATAGGAATAGTACCGCCGGGTGACGAACAAGTAAGATTTACTACTAGCAGTTAAAATTAAACAATACATTATTATGTAATATTTAGATTTAAAATAGAAATTTTGGTTAAGTTCTGGGTCAAATCTTAAGAATATATGAATTATGTGTTACTATATGTACTTTAAAATTGTAGACAAAGTGACTATTGAAAGTAAATCTTTCAAATTATGAATATTTTTAAATATTTTGTTATGAGAAATAAATTCAACTCGCTTGCCAGTCTTGTAAATATATATTTTTATTTATTAAGTACATAAAACGATAATGATTTCAAGTGCTTAAGATAAAAAAAGGTTTTTTTATGATGTTTTCAATTAAAACTATAAATTTTATTTTATTAGGAGACATATTGGAGAATACCGAGTAGCTTACATTACGAAACTATAAGAAAAAGAAGGGAAATTATTATGAAAGCCGTTAACAGGGAACTTATTATAGACAATAGTGCGCCATCCCACAATAAAGAGAAAAACAACGATAACGGAAATAATAATATTAATAGCGATAACGAAAATAACGAGAATCATAATGTTAATAACGAAAGTGATGCCAGCGATGATGATTTGTTCGATAATTTACGTAAAATGACGAACAAAAGCAACGAAACAGAGAATTCAAGAAGCAAAAATCGCAAAAGAACACGCAGTATTGAATCTGACGACGAAAATAAGAAAAAACAAAGAAAAGATAAAAATGATGATGAAAATAAAGATAACGATGATGATATACTGTCGTTCGTTAAAAATACTTTACACACTGAACTACCAGATACAGAAGACATAATGAACGCACTTCCTGAACATAGCGGTGAGTTATAATAATTACTTACATTGATAATTAATACATATGAAAGATTATTAAATATAAATAGTAAAAGTAATGACAAATTTATACGAAAATGAGAATTTGTTATTTTTGTAAAATCCTGAAAGGTTAAGAATATAATCAGGAAAGATTTTCCTTATGTAAAAGTTGGTCCAATTTTAGTCTTAGTTGAATGCGTTTAAATTTTTACTTAATATTTAAATAAAACTAACTAATGGTTTTTATAAACCCTAATATTAAAGATATTTGAATACAAAGCTAAACTTGAGTTTCATTTTATATTATTAATTATTTTAAATAATAATTAAATCTTCCAGATGACAGCGACGCTGAAGTAGCACCCAAGAGAAGAAAACTGAGAATATTAAGTGATTCAGAATAAAATGTATTATATATAAACGTATAGGTATGTATTAATAAACTAAATTTAGTATTTTTTTCGTTTCACTCATATATTCTATAACTTATAATAATAAAATATGAAATATACCTCATTAACTTATGTTTTTAATATCACAATAGCTTTCACGTGAAAGAAAATATCGTATATAAAGACATACGAAAAACAATATCATTGTCAAGCTAATTATTGGATAAATCTTTATGTATAACAACAATCTTGAATTAAAACTTATCTTTTATCATCTTTCACTACAATTACAACTTCGTTATATCTTTTCATCTCACTACGAGTCATATGAAAATTTGACAACAGTTTTGTCTGTGACTGTACTTCTTTTGCAATTATTTTTTGGGTGTTTTCAAAGTCAAAGTAAATAGGTTGTTACAGATATAGAAATATAACCTACTGCGGATTTATTTCCACCTACAATGAATGACAGTCAAGAATAATAAAAGGTTCATTTTGTAAGAAACCTTAATTTATATAAGATATATAAAATCAACTAAATTACTTTAACTCGTATGTAGGTTCTTGATTATACTTCTGATAACCAGCTATTTTTAGACCATAGAAATTTGGCAAATATTGTAAAGTAAGCAGTCATAACAAACATCAGGCAAAAACGTTATATTATATAGTCGCCTAGTTAATGAATACCAAGTTTAATATTTTCTTTCACCGTCTTATATTTTGAACAAAGAAGCCAACTTCGTATAGCTTTATAATAATAAAAGTATTTTCATTGTCGAAGAAGTGATTCATTCTCTAATGGCTGATATCCGAACCAAAAGGTTTACAATAAAAGTAATCCGTGGCGATAACAAAATACGGCGTATTTGCAAAGTTTGGCAAAATTCAAATTCCCATTTAACAGGAGTTGGAAAGTTTGCTGAATTAATTCAAATAAACTTTCCAGAAATAGCACCGAAAGAGACTCGGCAGTTTTTATTGATCTAAAATTGCGATAGATTGTAGAGAACAGTATATATTTAATTGAACTATTTGATTCCTAATATACTTATTTGGTATTGGACAAGCAATATTTCTTAAAACAGTTTAAAAAATAACATAAAATCTACTGCCCCTGAAACATACTTTGTATTTTATGAGTAACCATGCTTTTTGAATGCCTAAACATTTATTTTCAAATTAGTTGTACCCTGGAACTTATCACACCTACGTTAGAAGACTTCCTTAAAATCTTTCGTTTTCCATATAATTATGAAAATTTAATATGCTTCAGCCTGAAATAAATTACAAAATTAGGTGACGTTTGAAAATAAACTTTTTTTTTTATAAATTAATTATTATGCATCTTTTATAAAACGAATAATGATATCTGGTTTGATCATAAGAAATATTATTTTTCAACAATTGTTGAAAAATATTATATTATTCAATTTCGTAATTGATGTTAAGGATACTATCAGCAAAAGTTCCGCTAGTTGAGAAGTTTCATATTTTAAGGAGGTATTTAAAGCCATAGTTATAAACAGTCTATAGAGTATTAATTGACTATAGGTATTAGAGTTCCGAAATGTTGGTATGTTTAATGTGATTTTTACTACATCCTGTAATTAATACGTAAATATTACTGTTTTTCTAACAAAAATTATATTTTCGACTGTAGTAATAATATATACTCGGAAACTTAATAAAAAAAGTTGTCTTATTTTGTTTTTAACTTAGCCTGAGAGCAATTATTAAATTACTGAAAGATTAGATAGAGATCAATAAACACTTTGAATAAATAAAGATAATAAGTGTGGGTGGGTTTGAAAACGATAATCTGAACTTCATTATCAAAAGCCTTTAATTTGCATTCCTACAATAGATAAAATTTATTTATATAATTTGTTATGTCTTATCCATAAAACTGTTGCCACGACTTGAATTATTCTACTATCACTCCCATTAGTGAGTAATGACAGCTGTGATTTTTAATAATTAATAGGATTTTGGACAAGAAAACCAATGTTAATACAAAATTTATCAAACGATATCTTAAATAGGTAAATAGTATAAGTATGTGCACTAAGGTTTAGGTTGGATGTTGTGACAGGTTAAAAAAGTTTTTATACCAACAATCCTCATTTACTCTTAGTCTATTAGTTGGTACTTTAGTGGCTTAAGTACAATTTAGCATCATTAAAGAAAATAATGGCCGTTTCAAAGTCTAAATGAGGTTTTTTAAGTGAAATCAATCTTAATGTTATTTTTTCTTCGAATACTTTGACCATTGGAAAACAATTGTGTAATTCTCAATATAATATACGCTAATATACATATCTTTTGTTAGATTGTCGATGTCTTGTAGATAAATAGAAGGAAAGATGACATCTGGACCCATTTCATGGTACTTAAGCATCGTTTTTGTGAACATAGTACAGAATCACCACACAAAATGGACAAAGGTGAATGGTTTTCCTGTAGTTTTGGACGAAGAAATTATAAGAAAAATAACCTTAATCAGATATTTTCCTTGTTACTATGATTCTTCTTCTACCTGGCAATTTCTCAGCTATAGCTAGGGTCTGCCTTACATGTTGTGAATAGTTTTTTGGCTATTTATTTTTACGATCGGCCGCCTGCCTGACATCAACCCTCTTTGGGAATCAACGTTAATCAGTGATGTCTAAATATTCTTACATAGTACATATGACTCGGAAAAATAACATTGGTACTTATCCGGGTCAGGATCAAACCCGCGCCCTCGTGCATGAGAGGCGGGCCTTTTAACCAAAAGGCCACCACTGACTAAAACTCCTTATTACTATGATTATTGGGTATACACTATAGTTATTGGGTAGTTTTTACAAAATTTTCAACAAAGCAAATTGAATATTATTTCTGATTTTCCCAAAAGTATTTGTATCATAAAAACTATTCGCTTTAAGATTCCCGATACACTTGATAATTTTTTAAATACATTTTGTTATCATAAAGTGTTTCTTTTTAATTTTGAAATATTTAAATTTTAATGAATTATTCAAATGGATTACACTTTTCACGTTCTGGCACGTTCTTACATCAAAGTAAATATTCTGGCTGCATGAGAGATTTCTCGTAAATCTTATGCTAAAATTTATTACGCTTAAAAGCATCTTTTAGCTAGAAGCCTGTCTAGACGAGACGTTGAATTTTGATGATACTTCAGAATAGGTCGGTACCTCAGTCGGTAGATTCGAATTGTCTTTAATAAAATATTCTCATTACATTTATTAAAGAATTAAGTTATTTTTAAAGAATATTTTGTGGTATATTAAAATATTATAGTAGGGCTTTATTGATGATCTTGTATTAAACTAACATTCGACCTTTACTTTAACGACTATCCCTACTAATATTATAAATGCGAAAGTAACTCTGTCTGTCTGTCTGTCTGTCTGTCTGTCTGTCTGCTACGCTTTCACGCCTAAACCACTGAACTGATTTTAATGAAATTCGGTACAGAGATAGAGTTGACCTTGAGAAAGAACATAGGATAGTTTTTATCCCAGACTTTTGAAAGGTTCTCTTGGAAACGCGATATAACCGAACTCCACGCGGCGAAGCTGCGGGCGGAAAGCTAGTAGATAATATACCAAAATCTAAAAATTTTAAATCTTACTTCAAGAAACCTTGATGAATTTAAATATATGTGTTGTCAAAAACACCGATTTTAAGAATAGAAGAACACTAGATTGATAGTTTTAAAATTTTAACTACCAAGAATGGCCGACATGCCAGACTTAATTACATATGTTTTAGCTTAACGAAATCCCTTTAAAACGCATTCTTATAAGCTTTGAGGGCTAATTCTTAACACACTATTCTAAAGAATAAGCAATAAAACAAGCATGTATATATTTTTCCATACGTTATACTTATTATTAAATTTCTATTCATTTATTCATTCCCTTGACATATACATAATCTTTTAAGTTAAAGATTCTTGAGGGTAAGCCATAAAGTTTTCTTGTCAGACATATTTTTCATTTACAAGCCCTTCGAAATTTTTTTCATAGTTTCATAATTATCTCTCCCTCTTTATGAGAATCTAGAAGTCCTTATATATAAATTAGCACCCTGTGGGGCTATTTCAAAACGATCTTTATTATCACCTTAAACGGATTTTGCTAATGCATTTTAAAAAAGAACTTATAACTATGTTTTTTCCCTTTTAAAAGTACTTAATACAAATCATTATACACCTTTGAACATTCGAATCGTATAAAAAACAATGTAGAGATCTATGTACTTTGTCGATGAGTGGATGTTTTAAATCAGTACCGTATTGAATAATGTATGGAGTGTCATCAAAAAGTAAGATGACTTTTCAAATTTCCGGGTAACAAACGATCGATTTCTGATTTCATTTTATTTTCCTGCTTTGGTAAATATGATCATAATATATATTTGTAGTTCCATATATGTAATTTATAAGTTGGAAATATAAACAAGTGACAAATTTAAATGTGCTTAAAGATTCTGTGCTATTATAAAACTAATACAAAAAGATTAAAAAATATAGAATTTAGTGCTTAATAACACTTGACATGTTGAATACTAATATGGCGAGATTATTTTAAGTAAAGAAGAAATCGTAAGTGGTATAAACAGTTCCTAGAATACAAAGAAGGTACCAATAATGAAACAAGTTCTGGACGCCCCAGTAATCGTTATAGCAATGAAGGAATTAGTTTTGGACGTAAGTCGAATCACAGTACGAGGAATTGCTTTAATTTAACACAAGAAGATTCAGTAGAATTTAGGGATTTTGAGTAACACCAATTGTGATCTTGATTTGGTGAAAAGGACTATCACTGTTCTGAAACATGGGTTTATGATGAAGACATCGAAACCAAAGCCCAATGCTCTTAAAAAAACGAACTCAGACGTGCCGAAACTGAAAAAAAACATGTGTACTGTGAAGTTCGGTTAAATGTGAGGTTTAGGTCACTGTTTATTTCGATAACCGTGGTTAAACACATCAAGAG